CAAGCCAATAATGCAGCATTCTACAGAAGCAGCAAGGTCGGCATGTCCCACAAAAGGCCTAGGATTGAAATATCTGACGAGGAAGATTTCTTCACAGTTCCAGATCTAGGATAAGGATGTCGATATTTTATGGTGTGTTTTCACATCTAGTACTTTTGCATCTATCTACCCAGCTGTTGATGTGCATAAATCAACAGTTAACTCTTGATATATAGTCCTGGCTGTATATTGCACCTTAATAGAAGCTGTGGATTGTGTAAACTACTTGTTTAAGTGCAGTTGAGATTCATAAGGTTGATTATGTTAGTAGTGTATTTGGTAAGGCATGATGAGTATGGCTTGTCTTAGCCAATTGGTCTATACATATATGTTCAGTTCTTCCGTTTATATGTTCTATATGAGTTCTACTTTATTAGACTGTTTGATAAGTATCTATTTTAGGAGCGACTCCAACCAAAGAGTACCAATATAAAGGTGTTTGCTCTGTTAAGGGGAGAATTTAAGGGAACATAAAGGAAGTCTCAGGTTTGAGATCCTGGAATGCAGCACAACTATTTCCCAAAAATTTCTGCTGGAGATGGCTCCTTGTTGAGGCCTGTTAGAAGAAATAATGCATCGGTAAAACTATAACTCCCCTCATATGTCATGCGTTTGCTGGATCCTGATAGTGGTTATTATGATATTTGGTGTTATTAAAACCACTAGATGCAAGATATCGGACAAAGCTAAAAGTAACTAAGAAAAAAAAAGGATTGGTTGACAGAAGTGAATAAATGGGAAACTCATAAAGAGCACATCCAATTTAATGTTGTATGACAACAAAACCACTTTAAACTGGAACTTTTTCCCCCGGTTTGAGACTCTCGTGTGTTAATAATATACAGTATTGCAGTAACTATGTCCACTGGATTCCTGACTACAGGGGAGAATCATTGGAACCGGTAACTATTTCTTCGAGGAATCTCCCTAATTTTCCTGAGTGAAGAGGCCTGGAAATTTAGCATGCTCGTATCCCATCGTAACAGTTAAAAGATCCAATATTTGTACTCTGTGAAATCCATGATAGTAAAACTAGATCATTAGTTATCAAACATCCAATATACACTTCAAAATTAGTCATATCTAAGGAAAACGAAAAAACTTTCATAAGCTCTATAAAGTTTAAAGAAGCCAACGAAACACATCTTAATAATAATAAAATAGCTCGGATTTATTACATGGCAAACAACATAGGACATGTCTAGTACAAGTTCTTTTCTGGAAGTTAGATAAGTTCTGTAATCAAAAATTTCACTAAAAATAGGTTACTTAGACATATAATTCCTTGCCTTGTTCACAATGTATGATCACTTTTCTTACTGCCTCATCAAAAATAATATATAACTAGTATTCTTGACGTCTAGTCTTCATGATAAAGACCGCTTCAGTATTTTCAGAGAGGTATGCTTCACCCTTTGAAATATTCATCACAAATAACATGTTAGTCTCAACTGTGACTGATTAGTCATGGTTTTCATTCAAATCTTTCACCATAATGAACTTCATTAGAGGTTTTGAAACCTTATCCCCGGTCTTCTAATAGTAAAGGTTAGAAAATTAAACTGTTACTTTCCAAAGTTAATTAGTGTAAGTATTATGTATGCTTATATACAGTATATGTGATATTTAAATACTTGTCACTTGTCTTTCTAATATGTACTATACAGCACCCAGGTATATACCCAAAGTTCTTGAACATATGAGCTCTCATTCACTCATGGGATTTACTGAGAATTGTTTATGACAAACTCCATCTTATGCAGCGCAGCGTCCAACTGTGAGGAGTTGAGGCTGATTTTGGAATATTTGAATGACTCATTGCAACTAGAACGCAAGCATGGGCAAAGTTGGAAAACAGTTTGCTTCATTCTTCCAACAGGGGCAGCTGCTAAACTACTCATCATCAAGAACTGATCACTAAAGCATGATGAAAACAAATATACACAGAATGTTGATCTAGGTAATGTGATTTGTGCGAATGCAAAAAAATGCATAATGCTGCATCACGGTATCCAAGCTTGACCACAGAACTCTACCTGTGATGTAACATATGGAACAGTTTTCCATCATTAGGTGTTTGTTTGCCTAGAAGAATTATAGCAGTTATGCACTTATAAAAATCAAGAAGAATGAATCTTACGTCTCATTAAAGTTAGAACAATTCCATCCAAGAAGAGTGATTATAACTAAAGGATCTCTGGGAAAGTAGGGCGTTATTTGCATATACTTTTTCAAGAAAAACCAACACAATCTTTGTAACTCCTAACTAACTATAATAATTCGTTGACAAGAGTTTACTTTTAACTCTAGGCTAACTCTTGCTGCGAAGCGCTTAAGTTCATATGACAGCCAGTCCTTCAATGATACAGTGTTATGTTGAATCACAATCATGTATCATCTGACCTTTTCAGAGTATGGCTTGATACCTGGCTATGATTCAGTAACTAAACTTTGTGTAGAGTCCTGTACTTCATCCTCTCTAGAAAATGCTTCCTCTGGGAGCCTGAAGGTTAAACAGTACATTGCCTGCAGGGTTGAGAAGAAATAAGGATTCGTGCAAGTCATGAAAAAGTGAAACAGCAAAAAAAAAAAATTTACTTACAGGAAAAGAAAAAGCGTTAAAAAGGTAGAAAACATATGGAATTTTAACCAGGTTTGCTAGCATAGTGGACTAGTAGGGGAACATAGCTTTAAGGCGGGAAATCAGAAAAATGCACACAGAAATCTAGTTATCAACTTACAACTTAAGATCAGCTGGAAATAAAAAGTCAAGCATATTAACAGGATTTGCTGCTTGTTTAGGTAAGAAGCTAACAGGAAATAGGTTAGGTTTATTTCAGTGACTTGGCGACAAAAGAATAAGAAATTCATTGCAAATGGTTGCCTTGCAATTTATTACAAGGAAAAATCATGCCAAATTAGAACAGGATCATCCACTGTTTACATCTTTCTTATAGCTGAATGAAATCCACTGTTAAATAAACATCAACAAAGGGTGATTTGCATTCGTTACTGTTAGAATATAGAACTATAACCATCAACTCTCACCACAACATCAGAGTTTTGATGTAATGGTTAGGGGGACTTTAAGATGGTATCAGAACAACTTAGGTTCAAATCTCACTGGCCATGAATTTAAAGCAAATATTATTTTAAAAAAAACTGACACCGCTATGTGACTCCAGGTTTTGCCCATGAAAAAAAGGCGCTCAACCAAAAGGGGTATGTTAGAATATAAAACCGTAACCCTCAACTATCGCAGCTTCGGAGTTTTGATGTAATGGCTAGAGGGACTTCAACAATTACTATTAGGTTAATGGAGCTTTAGTAGGTCATGATTGAAGCAACAACAGAAAACTTTCAAGGGCTAGAGTACACTGGGTCCATCATTATCTGGGTACAATACCATGATTAATTTGTGAACCCCAGCACCAACCCTTATCAGATATCGACAGAAAAGAAACATAGTGTGATAACATAAAAATATTCAATATCACATGAAAAACGAAACACACCTTGTTAGGTGCGACATCTCGAACCCTGTGAAACTTCGGTTCTGGTATCCTTGCACCAAAAGAAGCCTCAGCCTCCTGCATATAAAATGAAAGCTGTTCAAGGAAAGGAAAACATTCTGCATGTAGAGTAATCGTAAGCTTTAAATACAGTATATAATATGAAATTAGAACATAAAAGCATTAATACCGTCCGCATGCAATCTGGAACAATGGGCTCAATAATAACACTGCAGCCAGAATGATTATTACCCTTGCTCCCTATTTATATGTAATAACCAAGATAATCGGAGGCTAATGTATAGACAGAGAAGGAAAGTCAGATGATCTTCAGCAAATTCATCGTCCAAGAATCAGAGGCTTATCCATCTACCACTTCATCATGTATGTCACTAAACCCAAACAGATTCACTTACTTGCCTCAGTCCCTCCCTCCCTTTTCCTTTCTCCTCCATCTGCACTAGATTTTGCTGCCATTATATAGACATCTTGACATAATATTATCAATATTTTAAGATAAGCAATTTGGTTTTGTTCCGTAATCCGTATATGTAAACCTATTCCGTAAAACAATTTGAAGAAATATTCTCCTAAGTGCTTGTTTTGTCAAATGATTTTAAATTGAGCAATAGAAGTGTCTCAATTACATGGTCTAACTTATTAGTTTATAATCAAATCAAAGCACTGTTTGTATGTTAAATCAGTGCCTATTTTATCAAGTAGTTCACGGCAAGCAGCCACTAATTTGCCTTCTGCCATATTCTTCCACAGAATTAATACCAAATAATATGCTGGATACAGCAGATAGTCGCTGCGGTATATCATAGGGAGCATACTACAATTTTAAGCCTCAATGGTGTTATACTAAATCATTTCAGAGAGACAAGTACTAACTAATAGGTAGACAACAAAAATTACCATCAGGAACTGCCCAATGCTGCAGAATAGACGGTCACAAAAGTCTACGTCGCAGTATTCTGGACATTAAAGGTCATAGTGGAGCTTCATATTCTTCAATAAATGGAAATTGTCCAGTTTATTGGTTTCTTTAAAATGAGAATCCAGGATCTGGTTTCATTATAAGCCTGACGTCATTCACTTTCTTACTCACCATGCTTGTTAAAAATGCAATCAAGCCAAATAAGAGTGGGGGGCTGGTGTGGGGCGGGGGTGGGGGGGGGAACTACAATCTTCTCTGTTGGTACTACATCTTCTCTATATGGTACTTTCCATTCCCTAAGGGCTTGTTTGGATTGAGGGGAATAAGGGAGAAGGGAAGTTAGGGGAACCATTCACCTTGTTTGGGAACATTTAGGAGGTGAAGATATTCACCCTAGTTCCCCTTGGTTCACCCCTTAATAGTGTAAAATTTGTTACCCCCAAATTGGGGTGTAACCAAGGGGAAGGGAACTCCCTTCCCTTCTCTCACCTAGTTTCCCTTAACTTCCCTTAACCCCCATTGAAATCCAAACACACCCTAATTGGGGTGTAACCAAGGCGAAGGGAACTCCCTTCCCTTCTCTCACCTAGTTTCCCTTAAAGCTCATTCATTTGAATGAGACCTGAAATCTACATGAATCTTCAAGCAACATAAAAAAGCTCTTAACATCTGAAATAAGAATAATAACCATATAATTCAGACTGTCTACTCATCAGGTGTATTTTCTTACCAGGAAGCAATATGAATCACTTCCCTTTCAGACATCTAAAGACTAAACGTCAGGCAATATTCATGGTTCCACTTAACACTCTGACAATACCTCAAATGAATAGCCCCTAAAACATACTTATCTGAAAGTTAGGTATCAGTGAAGTATTTGCAATCGTTGTTAGGTCCAAAGCAAAAATTATCAGTTAATTAAAAAAAATTAAAAAAAACGTCAAACGGTTATATAGAGGCATCATAATATATATTAAATTTGAAAACAATGCAAGGTGCCGCTTACTGATCCTGCAAACTACAGATCATTTCAAGATAAAAGATAATATCAAAATTAAGATCAAAATAACTCACAGCTAGGATTGTTTCTTCAGTTTCATTTGACCGCATGAAACAGTAGCAGTGTATCCAGGGTAAAGGGCCCTTCCAGTATTTCCTTTGAAGAAGACCCTTAAAAACATCTGCCAGATCATTAAGCAAGAATAAGTTGAAACAAAGAGAAACAACAAATAAAGGAAGAACTGTGCTTACTGTTCAGAAACTTGAACAATGGAAGAACAGTAAATAACACTATATATGTATATAATATAATCCTAGTTAATTAATTATTTCCTAAAGCCACACCAGATACATGTTGTAAATTGTGTCTAAGGTGTCATTTTTGTACAAGAAAATCCTTTTAATCTGCAAACTACAGACGCTAAAAAGAAACACAAGAAATAATGCCCCAACATTTTAAAGACTAAAGTGATTGCTACATGAAGTTAAGTATAAGCACTGTTATAAATAGCAGTAAATAGCCCCGCAATAGCGGCACTAATAGCGTTAGCGGCCCCTTCCCGCTACGCTACGTTGTCGCCCAATAACGGTAACATATTGCGGAATATGTGTTTTTCGCTTGCAAAAGCGGCCAATAGCGCACCACATCAGTGAGTAGCGGACAATTACGGGCAAAATCCGTTTTTTATCATTATTTAAAAACGGTTTGAGATTTATTTTTTTAAAGTTAAACCTGACCCGCAACAACTACATCTCACTGCCTCCCTCGCTTTCCGGCGTACTCCCGCCACCTCCCATAGCCTCTGACACCTCCCTCAGCACTTCCTCTCACCTCCTCTCGCCGTGAGCTCCTCCTAGCGCAACCCTCTCACCGTTTAGCTCATCTTCTCGAATATGACAATTCTTTGACTTCTCCAGTTGTTTTCGGTGATGGTTACATGTCTATTTCATGTTTAGGATTTCTTTAAATCAACAAATGCACTTTTAGATTTTCTAAACTTTTTTATAACTTTTTTTTAAATATTTATACATATCTAAATTAGACCGTTATTTGACTTTGCGTTTTTTATCGCTATTTTTCCGCAATAGCCCCAAATAGCCTTAGCCATGCATC